TAGATAGATAGATAGATAGATAGATAGATAGATAGATATAGATGTGTGTGTGTGTGTTTTGTATGTCTGTGTGTATAAGTTTCCACGTTATATATTTATAACTAGACTTTTCTATAATGATAATTTTTTCTGATCAACAAAACCAAAATCAAAGTTACAATTTTTTCATCACAAGCAGAAAATCCAGAAGTGGTATCCAAATGATAATTATGTTTTCCCCTTTAAATAGAATAAACAATTTAACCATTCCTGATTTATCTTCCTTGCTATGGAAATAATGTGTATTTCTATTTGTACCTAATAATCTTTGTAAACTGTCACCATTTTTATTAACAAAATTCATTGTATTCTTTCAAATTCTTTGACCTTACTGAAGAAAAAACCTCTCTTTTTTTTCACCCTTTTTTAAAGTACTAAACTTTTGTCAAAACTTTCCAATGGATCTTTTTATTTGACTTCTTACCGTACAAGCTTTAAACTTTGGTAGTACATTTAGATCCCTCCCGCCAAACTACCCTTATAGAATTATATTTTTTTCTTTTATAAGCAACCTTTTTAACACATCATTTTCTTTGACTTTGTCTTAGTACAGGTATTCTCAAATACATTTTCAATAACATATAATATATAAATATTACATTTTCAAATTTTGGATTAAACCTTCCTTTCCGTTGCATATATCCAACAGAGAAAAATCTGTCTTAATTCCAGTTAACTCATTAAGTTTAAGCCACTTCTTTCAGCTTATCTTCATGGCGTAATTTTTTTTCTCCTCTGGAAATTTTATCAAGAGGTTAGAGACCTTTCTTTTTATCACAAAATCCTCAACCTTGTTAATGTTCTTAAAGAAAAAGTCCCAAATTTGTCTTTTTTCCAGGCTCTTCTTTCAGTTGTGTTGAGAGGCATATATTTAAACCATATTAGCAAAAGTTAATATCCAGTTCTTCCAAAACTGCAGTGAACTCGTCTGCATTTTCAGCTACTGTATTTTTTGGAGTATAAGATGCACCAAGGTTTTGAAGAGGCAAATTTTAAAAAAGTAGGTAGGTAGATAGAGAGATAGAAAGGGAGAGAAAGAGAGAGAAATACAGTAAGTAGGTAGGGAGAGAGAGAGTAGGTAGGTAGGTAAATAGAGGAAGGGAGAGAGGGAGAAATACAGTAGGTAGATAGGTACTTGTGAAGTTGCCTTGGTAGTTTGGTAACATTCTCCACATGTTTGCATCTCAAAAATAATTTGAGAGGATTTTTAAATTATCCTTGGAGCACAGCTGGTCAACAAATTGGCAGATTTTATTTAGAGCCCTTTCAAACATATCTCTAATACTTTGGGGGGGAGAGGATATTCTAGAAGACTGGCATCCAAGGGTGAAATCCAGCAGGTTCTGACAGGTTCTGGAGAACTGGTAGTGGAAATTTTGAGTAGTTCGGAGAACCAGCAAATGCCATCTCTGGCTGGCCCCAGAGTGGGGTGGGAATGGAGATTTTGCTGTATCCTTCCCCTGCCATGCCCACCAAGCCACACCATGCCCACCAAACCATGCCCACAGAACCAGTAGTAAAAAGAAAATTGAATATCACCAGTGCTGACATCATAGCAGAGAAAGCACATCTTCTCCGACCCACCAAAGTAGTTCATAGCCCAGCAGACCCCCCCTTGCAAGATCTGATGGAGCAGGCTGATATAATATTAAAAGAGATTAACTCTACTGTTAAAAATAGTAATATTAAAAGTTATCTTTCCTATGCTGTTCAATATTTTCATTGAAGATAAAATATATATTATTTTGTAATAATAATTAGTTCCTACCAATTGGCTAGGATGCCTGTTGCATATCACCAAGGTTTCTAAATGTTAACATTCACAGTAGACGATACATTACAAATATTTGATGATGTTTCCATATTGTATGTGTCTTGTCTGTTTTTATTAAAAGGCATGAAAATAAATAACCTCCTTTTTTATTCCTTCTGATTTTTTTAAAAAAAATTAAAGCATTTTTGTGGGCCTAATAAAGGCACTGTGATCATTGCGCTAAATGAGTTTTTCTGTAGGACTGTTTCTGATTTTTTAAAAAAAACTAATGATAAGTTTATTGCAGCAAGGATTCTTCTGCTAAGGACTTTTGGCAAAAAAATATATTTTTCCTGTGTTTCATATTCTTTCTCTTATGTTGGGGGGGGGGAATATTCTAAATCTGTGCAAATGTTCCTCCTTCATTTCAGAGGATAGCCATCATTCTGTCTGTGTTAAGCTTCATGAGTTGTGTCCAATGTGTTCAGGGATTTTTTTTGTTTCTTTCTTTCTTTTTTTGACATTCAGGCCCAATCACTGTCCTGGCTGAATTGCTTGCGTTGCTCATAGCTACATCCAAAAATCATAACCGGGGACACTTGCTCTGAAGTTTGGCTTTCAATCATGAACATCAGGTGGCATGAGGTTGCTTGTGATTATGGTGCATGTCCCATTGCCATTTCATTGTTGCTTGGCGCCACAGTGAACAACAAAAATCAGGACACAAAACACTAAACAAATTGATGAAAGGTGAATAGGGGAAACAGCTTTCTCCAGCCTTGAGCTCTGTTGCCATAATATTGCTGCCTTGACATAAAAGAGAGAACCTGGATTTTAAGAAGATGCACTCTTAAGTTCTGTCTAGAATAGAAGATCAGAGAATGAAAGAGCATAATTTGGTGTTAATATGGGCAAGCATTGTAAGAGAAGAGGCATATCCTGGGGACAGAGTCAAGAGATAACTAAGCCTAGAATTGTTACGTGTCCACAAAGGCTCTAAATCCAACCCCTCCTAAATTCCATTTACGCTTGCCTATCTTATCTAACTCTAATGCTGTCAGTTGACTAGATTCTTGAGTATAGGGGTGAGCAATAAATCAGCTTAATTGGAATTTAATGTGTAGTCCTGATTCTTTGTGACTGACCAACATAATGGTTTTGGTAATCAGGATGACCACAAGATGTCAGTGAACAGATAAGAGTTTTCTGTATTCGTAGTGATGGTCCAACTTTGGTAGCCTTGAAGTATTCAAACATCTGTCTTATATGCAGAAGGACCCAGATTCAGTACTGGAGTGGAAAACAGCAATCTGGAACTAAAGCAATGATGGCATAGATTTTTGGACAAGGCAAGATTTTAAGTGCTGTGGGCACCTTCTGAAAGTTTAGAACACATGGGGCTGTTGCTAAATAGACTTCATGGGCACCATGAGAAGACACTTGCATGGCTTAATATCTGTGGAAATTCTCCATCACCCAGGTCATGGTTCTCCCAAAAGTGCTTTTCAAAAGGTAACTGGACTTTCTTGTTTTTTTTCCCTTGAAGAACTGAAGTTTGGAACAGAACTGAACTGAAATTTGCTTGCAGAAGTGAAGAAGCTTCTTGGATGAGACGTGAGACCTTTTAAGGAAAAAAAAACCAAGAAAGCCCACTTGTCTTTTGGAAACGCACCTTTGGGATTTGCCTGGCTTATTCTTTCCCCAATTTCTCCTGTTGCTGCCTATTTTTTATTTAGTAAGAATGCCCAAATAAAGTCCATAAGCATTCTTAATGAAGATGCTTCCACAGCAGGAGTCCCCAAACTTGGCAACTTTAAGACTTGTGGACTTCAACTCCCAGAATTCTCTAGCCAGCAGAATTCTCGCAGAGTTGAAGTCCACAAGTCTTAAGGTTGCCAAGTTAGAAGACCTCTATTCTACAGGCTAGTTCCTTTCCTTTCAGAATTAATTAATTAATACTTCATATTTCTAAACTGCCCATCTCCCTCAGAGAGAGGCTACACGTCGGCATCAAGTTATGTTCCCCTGTACTTTAAATGAATTCTGATTGAAGGAGTTAAAAAGAAAGTGCAACTTTAGATTATAGAAATAACACTTCCATTTCAGGCCAATAATTTCTTTTTGAGCTATACTTCTGACAAAGATTTTGTGCAATGGGGACCCATTTTAGTTATGCTACCCTTTCCCCCTGAAAACAAGACCTCCCCAGATAATAAGCCCAGTTTGGCTTTTGAGTGCATGCACTAAAATAAGCCCTCCCTGAAAATATTGCAACACAGCAGCAGCCCTGAGGTAACCACGCTCACTGTCTCCTGCACATCAAAAATAATAAGACCTTCCTGAAAATAAGGCCAAGTGCTTATTTGGGGGGTCCAAAGAAAACCAACATGTTGCGATCCATAGTTTTTCAGGAGGTGTCCAGGACAGACATGAGGGGTCCTATCCAGAAGCCACATCATCTGAGGCTTTGTTAGAAACCATTGACTTTCCTTTGCAAAGAAGCCTCTTTATAACTGTACTGTTAAATGTTTGCAATGCGCCCTTTCAGAATTGTCCAGAGAAAAAGAAAATCTCATCTGTTCAACCCAATCCCTCCCCTCCTGTTTTTGAAAATCAAGCAGTCCATCCAATTCAGGGGGGAGGGTTGCTGCCGGCATTTCTGCTGGTTCGTCGCTCACACACGGGCGCATTTGCACCTAAAAAGGTCTGCGCATGCACACAACATTAAAAAGGGGGGGATTACATTTTTACAATGAAGATTGTTCTACGCATGTGCAGAGCCGAAAATAAAGATGGTGCTACCATCGATAGAACCGGTTCAGGGGTGTGGCAGGCCGAGTTGCTACCTACTCGGCCGAACTGGTCCAAACTGGTAGGAACTCACCTCTGATCCAATTATATGGCTACTTAAATGACTCTTTAGCCAGCCTCAAACCAGAAATGAAGTTAGCTAGAGCCCCACAGTTCTTTCCAAGTGAGAAATCGATGCTTCCAACTTCGGGCTGTGAGATTTTTCTCTGGTTTTTTTTTTCTTCAAAATCTTCACCCATCCCCAGTAACTTGTGAATGACCCCTTGTGTTTGCTACTTCCCTCAATTAGATAGGAAACCTATTACTCCACTGGATTCCATCTCTTTCCCGCCTTCCGATTCCCCCCCCACCTTCTGTTTTAACTTTTCTTTTCTTTCTTTATTTACATCCATTGCAGCCAGCTCTCTGTGGCTCACAGATGTATACAGGGAAACTCTCTGAGGTGCGTCACAGGCCCAAAATAAGTGGCTTCTTTGAGATGTTTTAGTGCTGCGATCGCAGGCTTCATGTGTGTGCAGTAGAGTTTGTTGTTTGCTTTCCTCCTCACTTTCCCATCACGGACCGCCCTTCCCACCAAGCACCATCTCATCTCTCATTTTTTGCAGACAATCTCTTAGAACAGAAACAATAGGATCCTAAGCTGAATCCGGCAATTAAGAAAATGGGGCAGTGGGTTGCAAAATGTCATTGAGTGCCACTGAGACAAGCCAAGGGGGTGGCAGTGGCATAAAGAAGAGGATGGCACTAAACAACAACCTGCTGCTGGTGTCTTCATCACTGCCATAGGGAGCAGAAAGAAAGGGTTGTTACCAGAGGGCAGGAAATTATACTGGATGTTTTGAAACATTTATTAAACCCTCTGCAAGAAGATGGTCAAAGACAGATCCAACCTAGAAGTAAGGAGAAATTTCCAGACAATGAGAAGGATGAATCGGTGGAATAGCATGCCTCCTGGGGATGTGGATGCTCCATCACTGAAGGTTTTCAAAAATAGATGGAACAGTCATTTGCCCAGGATGGTATAAGGTCTCATACTTGGAGCAGGAGGTTGGACTAGAAGACCTCCGAGGTCCCTTCCAGCCCAATTTTTCTATGATAGCCTTTTTTGGCGGGGGAAAGGAGCCTCTAATGTTGGTGTGCACAGCATGAGCTGCAGTGTGCAATTAACAAGTAAGATGTGATGTGTCCAGAGGTGGTATTCAGCAGGCTCTGACCAGTTCTGGAGAACCGGTAGTGGAAATTTTGAGTAGTTCGGAGAACCGGTAAATACCTCCTCTGACTGGCCCCGCCCCCATCTATTCTCTGCCTCTCGAGTCCCAGCTGATTGGGAGGGAATGGGGATTTTGCAGTATCCTTCCCCTGGAGTGGGTGGGAATGGAGATCTTACAGTATCCTTCCCCTGCCACGCCCACCAAGCCATGCCACGCCCACAGCCAGGAGGTGCTTCCTACCCCAGCAGGTATTTGCTATGCTTCCAGCCAGGAGGCATTTCCTACACCAATTGGATCTGCTCTTACTGTTTGAGGAAAGCATCTTTTTAAAGCTCTGCATCAAATATCCAGTGTAAGGTTCCTAAAGCCCGCTGTGTTTACCTCTAAATTAGTCAAGAGGGGGCGTACGTCAACCCTGAATCACAGGGAGTTAGTTCCATTTTCCTGCCATAATTGATTTCAGGATGAATTTCATGCACTTTTCTTTTCTTGCCACAATCATAAATTTCTTTGTTTTTTGTTTTTTTTAAATTGGATCCAGGTATTAGCTCTTTGTTTTAAGAGAGGATGAGAGAATGATTGCAGCTGCTGTAAACTGTCTAGCTTTAACGGCTTACAGGCTTACAGGTAACCTGGGCTTCTTGTTTAAGGAACTGTTTTTAGCAGAACATCTGCCTGAGCTTGGGCAGAATCCTCTTTGAGGCCTCATCTGTCTTGTTGGGCTTTTGCAGGGCATTCCTGAGCAGTGGGCCAGGCTATTACAGACTTCCAACATTACCAAACTGGAGCAGAAGAAAAACCCACAAGCTGTTCTGGACGTTCTCAAATTCTACGATTCCAAAGAGACGGTCAACAATCAGAAATATATGAGTTTTACATCAGGAGGTAAGCAAAGGTCATGTGCCATCATGAGCAGGGGTAAAATGCTACCGCTTCTCTAGAACCAGTAGCAAAAAATGGTAAGGTTCGCCCGAAGCAGTAGTTAAAAACAAGCTTTAAAAAGCGAAAAAAAGAGATTCTGTGACATTCAGCTGTGCTGCGCAATCGTCTGAACCCCTTTTTTTCCTTTTTAAAGCATTTTTTTTCCTACCTATTCACCTGAACCGGCAGGAAAACAATGCTTTAAAAAGTGAAAAACGTTGGCCATGCCCACCCAGTCACATGACCCACTATCACCAAGCCACGCCCACAGAACCTGTGGCAAAAAATGCTAAGGTTTGCCCAAACTGGTAGTAAAAAAAAAGCTTTAAAAGGGGGGGGGGAGATTCTGTGACACTCACCTGTGGCGCGCAATCATCTGAACTTTTTTAAAAAAAAATTAAAGCATTTTTTTACTACCGGTTCTGGAGATTAGTTAGTAAAAATGTTTTAAAAAGTGAAATAAAGAAGGTATGATGATGGCGCGGCTCAAAGCTGCTCTGCACAATCATTGGAACCATTTTTTGTCACTTTTTAAAGTATTTTTTCCTAACTATTCGCCCGAACTGGCAGGAAAACAATGCTTTAAAAAGTGAAAAAAAGTTGGCCACGCCCACCCAGTCACATGACCACCACCACCACCAAGCCATGCCCACAGAACCAGTAGCAAACAAAATCCATTTCACCACTGATCACGAGTGAGAAGAAAAGTTTCCACTTGGATGTCCATATTGGTACAAAAACTTTGACCATTGAGGAGAGGCTATCATGAGGAATATCTATCTATCTAGTCACTAGGAGTCAACACTGACTTGAGGACAGATAACTATAGTTTAGAGATGGGCTAGCTGCATTCACATATTATGCTAGGAAACCAAACAATTATGAGCACAATTAGAGTCAGAATTTCCATTGCTAAGCAGGGCGCTTGTTAAGTGAGTCACTTTTATGACCTTTTCTGCCAAGGTTGTTAAGAGAATCCAGGTAGATGTTAAGTCAATACACTGTGGTTAAGCAAATCTGGCTTCCCTGGTTGACTTTGCTTGTTGGAAGCCAGCTGAGAAGATCAAAAATGGGGATCAATCAATGAGAATAGAGCTGGAAGGGACCTTGGAGGTCTTCTAGTCCAGTTCCTGCTCAAGCAGGAGACCCTATACCATTTCAGACAAGTGAGTGTCCAGTCACTTTTTAAAAGCCTCCAGTGATGGAGCATCCACAACTTCTCGTTTAAATTTTTTATTTCCATTTTCATTTTCATAACACACACTCACATGTATACTATACATAGCCCATATCATATAGT